GCAGACATACACCCACATGAGCATGCACACACACACACACACACAAGAGCATGCACATACACACACACAAGCATGCACACATACACCAGCATTCAGACATATACCCACACGGGCATGCACACACACACACACGAGCATGCACATATACACACACACAAGCATGCACGCACACATACACAAGCATGCAGACATACACTCACACGGGCATACACACACATGAGCATGCACATATACACACACACAAGCATGCACATATACACAAGCATGCAGACATACACCGACACGGGTATGCACACACACATGAGCATACATGTACACGCACAAGCATGCACTCACACACACAAGCATGCACACATACACCCACATGAGCATGCACCCACACACGAGCATGCACTCACACGAGCATGCACACACACACACTTGAGCAGGCATACATACACACACATGAGCATACACTACAAATCTGCACACCCCCGGCCATGCACACATGCACACTCCAGACCCCCATGCACAAGCAAATGGAAAATCAAGGCATTCACAAGCTTGTAGAGGGAACAGACAAACAGATTATGAAACAACGCTCTGATGGGGATCTCAAGGGGCAGTGGGGTGCGCCTCAGCAGTAACTGTTGTTTGCCAGCTGTATTAGTTATCTACCGCCACATAACAAGTTACCCCAAACTTAGCAGTGCAAAACAACAGCCATCTGACATCTCACGTGGTTCTAAGGGTCAGAAATCCAGAAACACTCATCTGGGTGGGTTTGGCTCACAGTCTCTCGGAGCAGGGTGGCAGTCAAGCTCTCTGCCAAGGCCACAGCCACTGCAGGGGCTGAGGATCTGCTCCCAGGCACACTAGTGTAGCTATTGGCTGGAAGCTTCAGCTTCTGGTCACATGGGCCTCTCTGCAGGGCAGCTCAAGACATGGCCTCCCCCAGAGTAAAGAACCCAAGGGAAAGAGAGAGCATGTAAGTTAGCAAGAGAGCAGCCAATATGGAAACCACAGTGCTTACAACCTCATCTCAAAAGCAAACACCATCACTTCTGTCCCATGCTGTTGGTCACACAAACCAACCCAGTGCAAAGTGAGAGGCAGCAAGGCAAGGCTGGGCATTGCAGCAGATGGGATCATTGGGAACCATCCAGGAAGCCAACAACTACACTAACTAATAACCTTTGCCCCTTCTCTCTTGCCAATAAAATCCCAATTTTGATCTCTCTAGCTCCAAAGAGAGAATCTGATTGATTTGAGTGAATCATGTGATCCCATATTCCTTACCTAGAATTAGTTTAGAATGTGCTGAGGACCCAATCCTGGCCATGGGAACCTGAGGGGAAGTCTGCAGAGGGGCTCCTGAGAAAGTTTTTCCTCCCCACTACAGGAAACAAAGTACCACCCCTCTCTGGATGTCATTTTCAGATTTGTCTGGAGCTGTGGCAGCCATTTTGTCATCATGAGGGGAGTCATCACCAACAACCTAGATGGCAAAGAAGGAAGATCTCGTTGTGCCTGAATCGACAAAACCTGAAACTGTCCTACCTCCAGGTTGCTTATTAAATGAAATAATCAACTTCTCATTGCTTAAGCTTTTTGTAGTTGAGGAGTCTGTTACACACTGCCAAAAACCAATAGAAACAGGCACCTCCCTGTTTGGGATTGGGAAGTCAGAGAAGGCTTTGAGAAGAGTCACCTTTAGGTTGGGCCTTGGTGAATAATTAGGAGCTCACCAAGTCAACTAGGGTGGAAAGCACTGCAGAGAGTAGGAAGAGCATGACAAAGTCCCAGAGGTCTGGAAGAACAGGGGCTGCTAATTCTGGAGCATAAGACATATGAGCGTGAGCAGCAGTGGGAAGAGGCGATGCGGGAGGGTGAGTAGGGTCTGGGTCATAGGGGACCACCAGGCAGGCAGGCTACAGTGGTCAGACTTTATCCAGAAGGTGATGCAAGCCACAAAGAAGGATGTGCTCAAGTGCTCTGGAAGGGCCCCTCTGGAGTCAGCATGGAGATACAGGAGAAGCCAGAGGCAGAGGTAAAGCAGGGCCCGGGTCTGCCACATGTGTGGACCTGTCCCAGGCCAGTAGTGTGGCTAGCTCCAAGAGGGGAACACCAGGCAGCACCCAGGACCCAGCTGGATGCACCTGTCCCACCACCCAAGAGACTCAAAGGAGGAATTTCGCATCACACTTTAAAATCATCATCCACTGGCTTCCCATCACACTGAGAGTAAAGGCCAAAGTCTCCCCCTGGCCTCAAAGGCCCCGTGTCATGTTTCCTCTGCCATCACCAGATCCTAGTACTACCTCATGGCACGATAGTGGGCACAGAGGAATGTCTGTTCAGCTTATGCCCACACCTTTGTCTTCATGTGGAACCTGAGGCCACTCAGAGAAGAAATCAGCCTCATCGGCAGGAAGATACCCATCAGTTTTCCCAACTCGCTGTTATGTCTAAACTGACTCCTGATAAGCAACTTAGAGTGCAGAGACTGTGACTTTTCCATGCACAGGGTCTGAGTGCAGTCCTATAGATAGGTTTTTAACAAGCACTTCCTGGTCATCCAAATCAATGATGATGATGATGACTGGTCTGACAATCATCAAACCGCTAGTGACTGTGGAAATACAGAAATCTAAGGTGGGGACCTAACCTTGCACAATTTATAATCGCAACAGACAAGCCACACAAAATGCTGATGATAACAGCACAGGACAAAGGAAAGGGCACAGGCTCTGGAGTCAGACAGGCTTTCATTTCAAATCCAGCTCCACCGTTTGCTGCTGTGTGACCTGGAAAAACCCTCAACCTCACTGTGCCTCTTTGTTCTCACCTACAGATGAAGATAGTCACTCTTACCTCAAAGGACTGTAAAAGTGTGGCTCAGCACACAGTAGGTCCTCCACAAATGATCATCAAGATTTCAATTATAATCCTAATGACAACAGTTATGTTGTAAAAGAGAAAGCTTATCTTTTGGAGTGCCAGTTCCCAACCTTTTTGGCATGAGGGACTGGTTTTGTGGATGACAATTGGTACATGGACAGGGCAAGGAGGGCAGGAAGTGGTTTTGGGATGATTCAACAAGTGCATTACATGTATTGTGCACTTTCTATTATTACACTGTAATATATAATGAAATAATTACACAATTCACCATCATGTAGATTAGTGGGAGCCCTGAGCTTGTCTTCCTGCAACTAAACAGTCCCATCTGGGGGTGATGAGAGAAAGTGACAGATCATAAGACATTAGATTTTCATAAGGAGGGCGCAACCCAGATCCCTCACATGCGCAGTTCACAGTAGGGTTTGTGCTCCTATTAGAATGTGATGTCACCACTGATCTGACAGGAGGCGGAGTTTAAGGGGTAATGCAAGCAATGGGAAGCAACTATAAATACAGATGAAGCTTCCCTCACTCACTCACTCACCCACTGTTCACCTCCTGCTATGCAGCCTGGTTTCTAACAGGTCACTGACCCATACCAGTCCATGGTCCCAGGATTGGGGCCCCCTGTTTTAGAGATACATATTATAATAGTTACAAGTAAAACTGATGAAACAAGAGTGGCCAGAAGTTGAAGACTTAACTGCGAGATCAGTGCCTTGGACTTCAAATCATATTATTCTCTAGTTTTTTATTTGTTTTTGAAATTTTTCATCATGAAAAGTATCTTAGGCCAGGTGTGATGGCTTATGTCTGGAATCTCAGCACTCTGGGAGGCTGAGGTGGGAGGACTGCTTGAGTTCAGGAGTCTGAGACCACCCTGAACAACATAGCAAGACCTCCTCTCTATTAAAATTTTTTAAAAATTAGCCAAACATGCTGTGTGCACCTGCAGTCCCAGCTACTCAGGAGGCTGAGATGGGAGGATTGCTTGAGCCTGGGAGAGAGAAACTGCAGTGAGCTTGATCATGCCACTGCCCTTCAGCCTGGATGACAGAGTGAGAACCTATCTCACCAAAAAAAAAAAAAAAAAAAGAATATATTAGCCAGGTGCAGTTGCACACACCTGCAGTCCCAGCTACTTCGGAGGCTGAGGCAGGAGAATTACCTGAAGCCAGGAGTTCAAGGCTACAGGGTGTGAGGATCGTGTCTGTGATTGGTCACTGTACTCCAGCCTGGGCAACATAGCCAGACCTTATCTTAAAAAAAAAAAAGCATACTTAAAAAGTTATTCAAAGAACATATAAGAAAGATACTCTAATTTCCCTGTTTTTCAGATGAAGAATATGAATCTCAGAGAGGTTAAGTTACTTGTCCAAAGTCACAAATCTCATGTGGCAACAGAGTTCAAATTCATATCCAGGTCAACAGGACTCTGGAACCCAGACTCTCTCCACAACACCGGTCATCAGGAAAAGAATTACAAGACAACCAAAAATCTGTGCAAATCTTCACTGAAAGATTATGCAGTCAAACAACTGAAACAAGGAACTGTTTTTAAAGGCCCAAACTGAAATGTAAATTGAAGGAAAACTTACTTCTTTCAATCATCCATTTGGGAGGAAGGAAACCCTGCTCCTCTTTACCCATCTTCTTTGGTGCCTCTTTTTGTCTAAGGATGAGAGTTTGAGAGGGTGGTAACAAACAACAATAGCAATAAATGTGTCTCCTATCACGCCACAAGGCCGGTCACTCTCCTTGCATTTCCCAGAGGCTCCCTGCACAGGCCTGGACACTCCACAAAAGGCTGCCATTTTAAGACTGGTGGGGGTGGGAGGGGTGCACCCCACCATGGTTCACTGGAGCCCCACACTCTGGGTTCAAATCCAGCTTGCCCCTTCCAGCTGTGTGACCTTAACAAGTCACTCTCCCGCTGGGACTCTTGCAGGGTCCTGAGCACTGTGCTGGACAAATAGGGATCACCGAGGAAGGGTTTCCCCCCACACTACCACTGCTCCTCCCTCTCGCAGAAGCAAGCCTCGCTGAGTAACATTAAGCATCAATCCAGCACTCTGTGTGAAACCATCGTAAGTTGTGAATGAGTGGAATTGACTTACTAAAGCTGCGGCTGAATCATTCCCTGCATCTTCCCGCATCTGCGGGGGCTCCCGGCGCAGAAGGCAGATGAATGGGCAGGGCATGCGTCCCTGACAGCGGCAGCTCCAGCGTCTTCAGGTGCCGCACGCCTCCAGATGGCTTCCCTTTCATGTGGAGTGCATGGCGGGAACTCACCTGTGTGCCTGGGGCATGTTCTTTGGAAGGTGGAGTGCCCAGCAGGATGTTGGGAATGGGGGCAGAGGTCCTAGCCATGGGCGTCTCAAATAGATCAGCTGTCTGACCCCTCATTCCACACGAGGAAGCAGCTGATTGAGAAACAAATCAGAATCTAAAGGTTTTGCCATTCATCCAAGACTCCCTCTGTCTGTCTGTCTGTCTATATGTCTGCCTGAGGATGGTTTGAAGGGCGGTGACAAAGCCCTCTAGTGGTGAGCCAGCCCGCTTCTCAGGGACGTCCCCCTGAGCACACGAGGAATAAGAAGGCAGTGAGTGCCCCCATCTGGCGGGAGTCAGCAATGTAGGACTCATGATAAAAGATCCCGGAAGAGTGACAACAGCCCCACCGTGACACCGTAACAGGTTTAATGAGCACCTACTGTGAGCCAGGCTCTTTTCATATGCTATCTCATATAATCCTCATAATCACTCCCACAAGGCTCCTTTTTACAGAAGAGAAAACTGAGTCTCCAAGGGGTTTACTGCTCTGGCCAATGTCACTCAGTTATTCCACAACACAATCACAAACTCAGGGTCCAGGCTTTATTTGCCAGATGGAGAAAGAGGGAAGAAAAGAATGAAAACAACATTTGTTGAGCATCATCTGTGTCCCACTTCTATGGACTGAAATGGTGGCCCCCCAAAATTCATGTTGAATCCGTAACGCTCCATGTGATGGCATTTGGAGACGGGCCTTTGGAAGGTAAGCAGGGTGAGATGACGTCATGGGGTGGGGCCCTTGAGATGGAATTAACGCCCTTATAAGAAGAGATATCAGAGAGCTTCCTCTCTAGTTCTCCATCTTGTGAGGACACAGCAAGGTGGCTGTCTGTAAGTAAGGAAGAGGGTCCTCACAGGGATCTGAATTAGCCAGCACCCCCAACGTGAACTTCTAGCCTCCAGAACTTTGAGAAATAAATGCCTGTTGCTCCAGCCATGCAGTCTACGGTATTTTGTTATGGCAGCCTGAGCTGATAAGACAGCAGATAACATGGACCTCATGGTAACAGCAGCCCTCACTTACCAAGTGCTTACTGCGTGCCATGCATGCAATGTCTAAGGGCATTACCCAGACCACTGGTTTTCATTAATCCTCACAATAAGTCTGCAAAGAAATTGCAATACATATCCTGATTTTAAAATGAGACACAGGAAAGATGAGTAGCCCACCCAGGAGCCAGAGCCTGTGTGTGTAGGGGGCAGATCCGGCAGACAGAAATTATGGGCACTGCTAAGTGTGATCATGTGGTGTACCAGTTCAGGTCCACCAGGAAGTGAATGTCAAGATAGGATTCAATGTGCAAGAGATGTATTGGTGGAAATGCCTATGTAGGACAAAGGGAGCAGGAGGAGGCAGGGAGACCTTGGGTGCTGTGTACTTCTAACACCTGGGAAAGGAGAGCAAGAAGGAAGGACCAAGGAGGAAGACTGCCAGACAGCAGCAGAGTTCTGGAAGTCATGGCCAGGCTGATGAGAATTTCCCAAGTCAAGGCGCCCATGGAAGAATCCACGTAAGGCAGGAATGGCCTGGCTCCAGTATTCCCACTACGTTCAGTTCTGGCTGCATTAAGTGTGACAGCAGAGTAGACCACTGGGGGGAAAGGTATGGCCACTGAACTGTCTCGCAAATGTGCTTCCCACAGGGAGTCCTCTTGAAGGGAGAGCTGAACAGAGCACCTCAGTGGCTGTGATGCTTGGTTGTAGGTGGCATCCACCAGACCACTTAGACACTCCATGGTACCCTATACCTACTGTGATTGAGGTCATGTGTGGGGCAATTCTTTGAGACCATGTGAATATTCTATATTCCCAACAACCTATCTGTCTACTGGTTTTAGCATTCACTGATATGGTCTTTGTTTGAGCCAATTACGGGTTGCAAAATGATTTTCTGATTATTTCATGGCTTTTAAACGTATTAGTTGACGTTGTTCTGTAGGACAGAACTCTCTTCCACCTTCTTTAGCGTCACTATAAGCTCATGGGGCTTTTCATTTAATGTGATAACCCTTTTCCATAACTCTTCTTTTGCTATTTCAGTTGTTCCTGAGTTGACCATTGGAGCCCCTTCCAACAGACCCTGTGTCCTGTTCGTCCGTTTATGAAGAGTTTGTCCACGTCAGTCTTTGAGCCCTTGCTTTTGCTCCAGACTCACCTTGTATGTTCCCTGTCCATTTATTTGAGGAGTTAGTGAGGGATGGTCTTTAGAAACCAAGACTTGGGAAGAGGTGTCCTCACTGCCATTTTAGTTCAATTTTAGTTATTAGTTTACAACGATTGTTCCAAATCAAATTCAACACCACAGGTTTCTCCCATGCTTTCCCTACGCCATATTTGCACCTCTCCTCTTCCATCGTGAGAACTCTGGCTGACAGTAACATCTGTGTATTCACTCCACTCCACAGTGCAAATGAATAACTACACCAATGCCACTACCAACAACAACTGCTCTACTAAGTTCATGATTGAGTGGAGGTTATTCCATCCATAAAATAAAGCCCACTAGGAGTGTGCAGTCAAAGTCCTGGAATTCCTCCACTGTCTGTGTGGTTGCCATCAATTTTACAGGCAGGTTCATTTATTTCTATTTGTATTCAAGTTTAGGGTTGCTTTTCCCATCATTTTGTTTCTCTTTCTTTCTTTCTTTTCTTTAAGATGGAGTCTCACTCTGTTGCTCAGACTGGAGTGCAGTGGCTCAATCTCAGCTCACTGAATCCTCTCCCTCCTGAGTTCAAGCAATTATTCTGTCTCAGCCTCCCGAGTAGCTGGGATTCCAGGCGTGTGCCATCACGCCAGGCTAATATTTGTATTTTTAGTAGAGATGGGGTTTCACCATGTTGGCCAGGTTGGTCTCGAACTCCTGACCTCAGGTGATTTGTCCGCCTCAGCCTCCCAAAGGGCTGGGATTACACGCATGGGCCACCGCATGCGGCCTCCCATTATTTTTATTTAATTTTTGTTATTCGGTAAATCATTTATACGGCTCAAAACTCAAAAATTATAAAAAGAAAGTGACTCTTCCATCTCTATCCTTTTCTCCCCATTTATTACTTTCATAGGTAATCATTTCCATTATTGCTGGACTTACTCTTCCCATATTCCATTTTTACAAATTGTAATGGTTTTATTAAAAAACAACATTGGAACTTCGTTGCACTTAATACATTTTGGAAACAACTCCATTCGGCTCATAGAAACCTTCCTCAATCTATTTTTTTTTAATTAAATTTGAATTACCCAAGTAAACACAACTCTTGCCTTTGCTTTACAGTTGAACATTGCATGCAAGGCTAAAGGCCTCTCAGTGCCCTCCAGCCTCCTAACCCTTCTACAGCCTCCCAGAGCTTGCTCTTCTCTGCCAGACCTTTCCCCATGCAGGTATAAACTCCTGTTTATTCTTGGAGGTTTTCTGGCATAGATGGTATCACATTGCAAAATCATTCTGGGCCAGGTGCAGTGGCTCACACCTGTAATCCTAGCACTTTGGGAGGCCGAGGCAGGTGGATCACCTGAGGTCAGGAGTTGAAGACCAGCCTGACCAATGTGATAAAACCCCGTCTCTACTAAAAATATAAAAATTAGCCTGGCATAGTAGGGGGCGCCTGTAATCCCAGCTACTCTGGAGGCTGAGGCAGGAGAATTGCTTGAACCCAGGAGGCAGAGGTTGCAGTAAGCCAAGATCGCACCATGCACTCCAGCCTGGGTGACAGAGCAAGACTTCATCTCAAAAAAAGATGTATGTATGTATATATACACATATATACATACATACATGTATACATGTATTTAAGGCTATATGTATATGTATACATGTACACATATACATACAGCCTTAATGTATTATTTATCTTGATAAGAGTCTTAGGGGGCACCCCCTTTAAATTTTGCATCTGAGACAAATACCTCACTCAGCTCACCTTAGTCCTGGCCCGCCTTGTGCAGTTATTTAACTCTTCTATGCCTCAGTTTCCCCATCTGTGAAATGGGAGAAATAACAGCACCTCCCTGACAATGTAAGTAAACTAAGATATGTGTAAAGCTTCAATCAGAGCCCAGCAGATGCTGGTTAAGGATTGTATATCATTATGAGGACTGTCATGCCAGGCACATAGAGCACACGGTTCACACAGGACAACGTATAAAAGCCACGATAGTTTGCATGCTTAAGCGTTAGTTCAGACCTCTTATAATCATTGCATCAAACAAGAATTTGCCATAATTCTTCAAGAAGTACAATGTAACCTCGTGCTTCTTCTTGTCCCACAATCGTGTGTTTCCAATGTAATCTCACAGTTGTTTTATGAAGGATAAAAAGTTCTTCACTCCAGTCATCCAGCATTCTTGCAAATCCCCATTCATTGCTGGCCATGATTACATCTCACCTCTTCCTGCAAGCTCTCCGCTGCTCGGGGATCCCTGTCCAGACCTGAGTTACAAATTAAATGTGTCTCAGTCATCTGTCAACATGCCCTTCATTGCCTGCTTCCCTCTCACATTCAGTCTAATTCACAAAGACATTTACACAAACGTTCTTTCCGCTACTTAGGTCTCCTGCCAGTGCGAAAATCTAAAAGTAATGCTCAGGCAGTCCTGCCTCCCTCCATACTTACCACCTTTTAACTCAGTCATCCATCTTTCAGTTCTTCATTCGATTTGTTACATTGTCTGCCTGTGCTAGCTTGCTTTAAAATACAGCTTAATCACTTTGGGAGGCCGAGGCAGGTGGATCACGAGGTCAAGAAATCGAGACCATCCTGGTCAACATGGTGAAACCCCGTCTCTACTAAAGATACAAAAAATTAGCTGGGCACGGTGGTGCATGCCTGTAATCCCAGCTACTCAGGAGGCTGAGGCAGGAGAATTGCCTGAACCCAGGAGGCGGAGGTTGCAGTGAGCCGAGATCGCGCCATTGCACTCCAGCCTGGGTAACAAGAGCGAAACTCTGTCTCAAAAAAAAAAAAAAAAAAAATACAAAAATCAGCCGGGCATGGTCATGGGCGCCTGTAATCCCAGCTACTCTGGAGGGTGAGGCAGGAGAATCGCTTGAACCCAGGAGGCAGAGGTTGCAGTGAGTTGAGATCACGCCACTGTACTCCAGCCTGGGTGACAGAGTGAGACTCTGTCTCAAAAAAACAAAAATAAATAAATAAAACACAGCTTAATGATTAATCTTTCTCTTATTAAATTGTTCCTTTTCCCTTCTTACTGTAACGTATTCTTTTCTTCCATTTCCCATACCTTTTCTACTTGCTTTCCATTCTGTATCTTGATGTTCTATGCCTGATTCTATTCTCTGGTCTCCTGGCCTGTTCAAATCAAAGCAACACATATTGATCTCCATTTCTGTTTAGGACTTCCCAGTTATCCCCCGTTCCATTTAATGCATCCATTTGTAAAGCCTGTATCTTCCTGGATCCACTTTCCTTTTGGTTAACTTCACAATGAGGGCCATTGCCACAGCCACAGTCACTGCCGCCCCTGGCTCCAGGCCCAGACAACTCCTCTACTTCGGCCTTCATCCCCAGCTCCTCCTGCACACCTCAGTGCCTGCAGGAACCTTCACATCTGTCCTGAACTCTGCTAGGAAAAGAAGACGGCCCTGGGGCAGATACCAGTGAACAGAGGGACCTCTAGACCCTGGCATACGAAGAAGACATGCCAACAGCTTCTTAATCACAATGAGAGTACATTTATCGATTTCCTCTTGTGTCCAAGATCCATTTAGAAGAATGCTTTTGAGGTTGTTGTTGTTTTCCATTTCTCAGTAGTTGTCTTTTTTTTTTTTTTTTTTTTGCTCTTTAACTTAAACTGTGGCATTCATGCCTTGATTTCATTGCTTTGTGGTAAATGGACATGGACAATATATTTTCTGTCTTTTGTATTTAATTTGACTTTTCTTAGTGGCTTCAGATAGCGTTCACCTTTGCACTTGGTCCACAGGCGCCATAAAGATTTATTCTTTACTTGCAAATACAAAATTGAATGTGTGTCCCTTAACTCCACCTTATAGTGCCAATGGTAACAGCCACCATCCACTGAGGGCTTGCTGTGTACGTGGATCTGTGCTGAGCCCTTTCCATGAATTTCTCTCATTCAGTCCCCAAGACCCTGCAAGAAATGCCTTTTGTGATTCTCTTTTTACTGATAAGGAAACTGAGGCTCAGAGAGGTGCAATAACTTGTCGACAGTCACATAACCAGAGACATGGGGCTGGGATTTCAATTTAGCTCCAATTCCCAAGCTTGGGCTAGTTTATAATTAAAGTCTTCCATATCAGGGGCTCTTTGCTGGAGATTCACGGAGCTCATGGGGGTGTCATAAACATCCCAGTTGTGTGCAAAAGACAGACCTGCAGATGTACACGGGGCAGAGGAGGCTCCATTGAGCTCACTCACTGCTCTAAAGTGGCCAAGAACATTGCTCCGTGTTTGGATTCATTTCTTGTTTATTAGATCTAGCAAAGAATGGGATGGAAGTTTAGCACACCCCTCCCCTCTTGGCTTTATTTCCATGTCTTTCTAAGGCTTTGTCTATTTTGTTGTACTCTTTTTCAGCACGCAGAGGCCTGTGACTGACTCCCAGCATCAATGTAAATTATACCTCCTTCTCAGCATAAAATGACTCTTCCCAACTAAATAACTATGTTTTGGAATCTAGGTGTAGCCCTTGCTGGCTATGTAACCTGGGGCCATACATTTCCCTTTCTCTGAAACTTGGTTCTCTAGTAAGGTTTCCCATTCCTGACACTGAGGCCCAGGTCAGACTTAGCAGAAACCATCTAAGCCCATGAGGCTAGAAACACGTGTCTACACCTAAGTTCCTGTTTCCTCCCAGCGGAAATATTTTCTCTCCCCAAATTAAACCAGGGAGCTGGCTCTGCGCTTCTTTACACCTGGGATATTTGAAGCAAGAATTTTCCTTCTTAAACCTGAGTCTCCTGAGGAGAGCAGGATTTGAAGAAGAAAGTAAAAGAAAGAAGCAGCCCTGGCTGAGTGCCTGTAATCCCAGCATTTTGGGAGGCTGAGGTGGGCGAATTGCCTGAGGTCTGAGTTCATGACAAGCCTGGCCAACATGGTAAAACCCCATCTCTACTAAAAATACAAAAATCAGCCAGGCGTGGTGGCAGGAGCCTGTAATCCCAGCTACTTGGGAGGCTGAGGCAGGAGAATCACTTGAACCCGGGAGGCAGAGGTTGCAATAAGCCAAGATCATGCCATTGCTCTCCAGCCTGGACGACAAGAGCAAAACTCCATCTCAAAAAAAAGAGAGAGAGAGAAAGAGAAAGCAGTCCTGGCACAAAGAGCTGGTAGCTGGCCTTCTGCTTCCAGCCAGGCTGTGCTACTCCATCCTGAACACACACAGTTTCACAGAATAGCAACGTCAGACGAGCACACTGTGAAGGAGAGAAAATAGAGCCAAAAAAGGACCACTCCTTAATCATGCCCTGCAGAGACAAAAACAAAGACCCTGGGCAATGCCCTAAACAGCATGTATTCCCCTCCTGCCCAAGCTGAGCAATAGGGTTCTCCCCCACCCCCCCACCCCGCCTCCTAGATAAAAAGTATTACTAGACTCTGAATTACCCCTGCTTCCTGACAGCAGCCCATCCAGAGCAAAACTCCACCTCTTTGACTGCTCTCCCAAATCCCCTAACACAGCCCAAGATCTAACAAACCCCTCCTAACGGTTCAGAGTTTCTGTGTGTTTGAAAGATGGTATCAAGGCTGGAGTACACATTTGGCACACAGAAGGTGCTCAATCAAAATGGTTGCCATTTACATGAGGGGGCGGGACAGGAAGAGAAATCAGACAGAAAGCTCAAACAAGTTTATTTCAGGGAAGATAAAATAGTACTTATCAATAATTCAAAACCTCAGACCTACTGTTATCTAGCAGTAGCTTGAATGAAGAGGGAATTAACTACTAGTGCTTCCAAAATAACAAAACAATGAGAATAAGAATTGCTGGGTGGGTGGCTCAGAGCTGTAATCCCAGCATTTTAGGAGGTCGAGGTGGGCGAATCACTTGAGGCCAGGAGTTCAAGACCAGCCTGGCCAACAAGGTGAAACCCTGTCTCTACTAAAAATAAAAAAAAATTTAGCCAGGCATGGTGGCACATGCCTGTGATCCCAGCTACTCAGGAGGCTGAGGCAGGAGAATCACTTGAACCCACCAGGTGGAGGCTGCGGTGAGCTGAGATTGCGCACTGCCCCATTGCCCGAGCAGCAGAGCAAGACTCCGGCTCAAAAAAAAAAATCACAACATCTCTTTCTCCTCTTGACCCTTATTTGGACGCTTACTGTGTGCTCTACACTTTCTATGCCTCATCTGTAATCCTCTCAAGAACCCAGCAGGTGAAGTAATCATTTGAGGGTTTTAATAGGTACAAAATGAAAAGAACCTTGTTCTAGAATTTCCAGAAAGATGGAGTAAGCATGTTTTTCCCTCTTCTTCCCACTAAATACAAAAACACACCTAGACATTTGATATAAAACAAACGTAGGAAGACTGGAAGGTGAAGAGAAGAAGGCAGACCAGCTGGGATGCTAGGGCCCACGTTAACAGCATGGTGGTGAGTTCCCTGGGTTGTATTGTTTTGCTTCACATATTCCATACTGAATACCACGCAAGCCAGCAACCCAGAAATGTCAACGGGTAGACTGAAGAAGCCCCACGAAGAGCCTGCGCTCTCTAACTAGAAGATCAGGCAAGGAGCAGCTTGGCAACACAGGAAATGTTTAGCTAATAACCACTCTGCTCCAGCCCAGCTCCACAGAAAACACTGCCCATGCCAGCAAAGGCCACAGGGAGGGCCTGGATTTCCGCCCTGGCCAAGCCATAGCAAGCCTCCTCTACTTCAGGTCGAGGGTGCTGTTGGAGAGACCCAGAAGGAAGCTGGTGGTCCTGAGGCCTCCTCCACTGTGTCAGTGGAGACTACAGGGGGAGCCTGGACTCCAGCCCACCCTTGTTTCTGCTCCCTGCTGAGGCAGTGTCAGAGGAGACCTGTTCCGAGAGTCAGGACTTTTACCACCACTCCGCAATGATAAGACCACCCCACATACACAGTGGCAGTGGAGGCCACATGGGAGACTGGAATTCCCACCCCTGCCCAGCAGTAACAAGAAGCCTCCTGAATCAGGCAGAAACATAAGCCAAGTAGAAAACCTGGACTTCCGCCCTTACTGGGCAGTAATGAGGAAGACGCCCCCTATATCCTCTCCAACAATGTCAGAAAATCCTGCTAAAACCTAAGATTTAAGTAAGATCCAGAGTCTTATGATACCCAAAATGTCCAAGTTTCAATCAAAAATCACTTATCAGGCTGGGCACAGTGGCTCGCACCTATAATCCCAGCACTTTGGGAGGCCAAGGCAGGTGGATCATTTGAGGTCAGAAGTTCGAGATCAGCTTGGCCTACATGGTGAA